GAGGACTTGAAGCATGTACTGATGAAGATCAAAGACTACAGCCTTCAGTACGGATTACACCTCAACATCAAAAACAAAAAAACCCACTGCCATCAAGGCTATTCCAATTCATAACGACCCTACAGGACAGAGTAGAACTGCCCCCATACGGTTTCCAAGGCTGTAAATCTTTACAGCAGCAGACTGCCACATCTTTGTCCCACAAAGCAGCTGGTGGGTTCAAACTGCCTACCTTTTGGTTAGCAGCCGACTGTTAAGCATTGGTTCCTTACACCTCAACATAAAGAAAACAAAAATCCTCAAAATTAGATCAATAAGCAACATCATGATAAATAGAGAAAATATTGAAGTTGTCAAGAATTTCATTTTACTTGGATCCATAATCAACGCCCATGGAAGCAGCACTCAAGAAATCAAATGATGTATTGCACTGGGCAAATCTTCTGCAAAAGACCTGTTTAAAGTTAAAAAGCAAAGACGTGGCTTTGAGGACTAAGGTGCACCTGACCCAAGCCATGATATTTTCAGTCATCTTACATGCATGCAAAAGCTGGACAATGAATAAGGAAGATCGAAGAAGAATTGATGCCTTTGGATTTTGGTGTTGGCAAAGAGTATTGAATACACCATGGACTGCCAAAAGAACAAACAAATCTGTCTTGGAAGAAGTACAGCCAATGCTCCTTAAAAGCAAAGATGTTGAGACCTGGTCTCACGTATTTTGGACATTATATCAGGCGGGACAGTCCCTGGAGAAGGATATCATGCTTGGTAAGGTAGAGGGTCAACAAAAAAAGAGGAAGACCCTTAGTGAGAGGGATTGACTCAGTAACTGCAACAAAGGGCTCAAACAGAGCAACAAGGGTGAGGATGGTGCAGGACCGGGCAGTGATTAGTTCTGTTGCACTTGGGGTCACCGTAAGACAGAACCGACTGAAGGGCACCTAACAACAACAACTGCCAGTTTTTTCTGTCTTGTAAAAGTCGGCAGGCAATTCTCTTCTCAGGAACAATAAATTCAGACTCTAACTACAGTAAGGCACTATGCTGGCATAAAGATGTAAAATCTCATTTAATCCTCACAACCACCATGTGAGAAAAATCCTTATAACTATTTTATACTCAACGTACAGTTTACGAAATGGAAATCCCAAGTAGTTTAACCATATGCCTAAGGTCATTTATCTCACAGGTGGTACAACATGAATTCAAATCTAGGTCTTCAGAGCCTAGGCTTCAGATGCTGTTGTTAGATGCCATCGAGTTGATTTTCGAGGCTACTGTCCTTCCACCAGATCTTACACACTTCCCAGACATGGAAAGTAGCGTTCACAGGACCATGCAAGCAACCTCCAATATTCAGACTATCTATTTGGGCAAGGATTTTTTTTTTTTTTTAATATTATTTATGGTGACGGGAAGATTTCCATTACCCATCATTCAGGAACAAATGTGAGTCACAATTTGCTATCTTCAAATCAGCACTTAGACGTAAATAAAAACTTAGTAATTTTAATTGGCTTGGCCTAAGCTTTCAGATTTCCATATGGTTATTTTCCTTGTTTTATGTTAAATGTAATCAATTTAGCACTTGGGTTTTAAAGTCTTGGAAGAATGTACCAATTAAAAGTTACATAAATTAAAATTATTCGAAGCACATTCATTTTAAGGACAAGATTTTTAAAATGCTCTTTTCATAAATATGTTAATTTTTCTCTATAAAGTCAGCTTGCATCCTCACCCACATGACAAACTTCATACAGACAAAAAAAGGAAATTCTGTCTGCAACAGGGAAAACCAACAAGTATTCTATTTGCTCTGAGAAATAATATATGCTTAAAATGGCCTTTTCGATGCTGTTTGCAAGATGAATCTTTCCTATTTCAGTATTTCTGAAATTGACAGCAGTCATGAAAACGCTTATACACCTTCTCAAAACTCAAACGTAAGTAGAATACCAAAAAACTTGGTGCCAAGGACTAGAAGCCAGGAGGGGACCGGAAAGCTGGTGATAGGGAACCGAAGGCTGAGAAGGGACAGTGTTGACAAGTCGTGGGGTTGTTAACCATTGTCTTAAAACAATATGTGTACTAACTGTTTAATGAGAAACTATTTGTTCTGTAATCCTTCATTTAAAGTGAAATAAAAAAGAAAAAGAAACGTGGCGCCAAGACCCTTAAACTGACAGCACATTTAGCCAATTCTTCACGGGTGCTGCAAAATACGCCAGCCCAATTGTTATTTAATAGGCTAGTATATCAGACTTTTAAAAACGGTTTTAGATCGAAAGAGATGGCCTTTCTAAGCCAGAGCCACGATTCCTTCAGAATCTCTAAAACCACTCAGTATTGGTAAAATATAACCCTAAATCTGAAAAAACATGAAACACATTCATTTCTGTAAACTTGTGGTTAAATTTATTGTTGTAACTGCTCCTCAAGACAACTGCCCGTGTAATTATTTTACAAACACTGAAGTTCATCACACGTGCTAAATAAATGAAAGACTCATTCATCAACCCCCAAGTGGCTGCCGATGGAATTTTCACACTTATTTAGCTTGACTGAAAGGCCAGAATGCTTGGTACCCCCATGATTGTTGGAGAACTGTGTGGTTCAAGTTAGTCTTTTTAAATTCAATTCTCTTTTTGTATCTTGGGTAATAAGAGAGTATGGAACCAGTTGCTTTTTAATACAACTCTAGAATTGAAGCATCTTTAAATGCTACTTAAATATCTTGACTATAGGTAGGTATTCTTCCCTGGCAAGAATAACATTAGATTCAGAAGAACAACTGTTCCTTCTTCTTGGGGTCCGATTTCCTTATGCTACTCTACATCACTGCAGTGTTGTACAGAAAATTTCTTTGTGACTTCTGTATTAGAAAATCTGACAACACAGAAGAGGATCTAATGCCCCTCTCCCATTTCTACTGGATTATTTTCTTGATTTTGTGATTATGTCCAGTGTCCTCTTTTTCAGCAGCAGAAATGCAGAATTGCTAGCAGTATCCCTAAAGGAAACCTTGACGGTCATTAGATCCCAGGCGAGAATGCCTTCATTCAATAAGGGCACGGCCCTCCTTCGCCCACAAGCCCTTTAACATCAGCAAGTTCCCCCAAAGGGCTTGCACTTTAACTCTGTCCGAGCAGGTCACATTTCTAAAATACTTAGCTGTCTCAAATGTCCCTGGCCAGAAGCACTGAGTCACTAACGCCACAGCATTTCAGGCTAGATTGACCTCTTTCTAGTTTTCAATCGAATTATTCCATGTAATCCGATTTACACAGCCATTTAATCAAAGAAAGGAGATTACAGAGCTCACATTTGTTTTGCAAAGCAAGGGTGCAAGGATCACCAATCCTACTGACTCTGGAAGTGACTTGATAGTACATAGACCCTTTGAAGTGTTGGACATTAACCTGATCTGTCAACAGTATTGTTTAAATAGGAAGATTTGAGCTCTCTTCCCGAACTGAAAGGTAGCAGCTTCTCCACCCAGATAACACTACCATTCAATTGAGCAAATGCTACTATAACAAGGACTAGGTTCCCTGCCCTTGGTTATTATTCAAAGCAGAAAACTTGTACAAATAATTACATTTAAACTTTTCTTTTGTTGCCAGAATCTTTAATATTTGTATTTCAACAGCACCCTGTGGTGATTCCCAGGTTTAGTGTTAGGTGCTTCCCTTAAAAACTAACGTGCTTGCGAGTGGAGATGTGCGCTCTCCTTCTCTTTCTGCTCCTTTCCGCACAAACCTCCTTTCTGCCAGCCAGTGACCTTTCCCTCTCTCTTTATCAACACCGGTGGCTCCATGCTTCCTACTTTCTTGAGTATCTACATTCCCCAGACCTAGCCATCTATTTAAAATATTATACTAAACAGGTCCTGTAATAAAGCATTTTCAGTACATGGATCCCTCTATTCTAAACTGACGATTTGTACAAATCCCCAATTTCCTTTTTTCCTCCCTATTTCCAGCCCTTCAATACATTTCGGGAATTGCAATCTCGGATAGAACTTCTGGGGGTGAAAGGGCAGCTTTACACAACCCACAGCAGATGCACTGAACGTATCCTAAGCTGTGAAATGAGAAAAGGTAAGAACGCTCAGTGGTGAAAGGCACGGTGGATGGTGTGCTGTGGTGGGCCCTACTAAATGACGGGCTAGATATCTGCATCAAGGGAAAAAAATCTAGTCGTACCCCTGGGCTGTGCTTTATCCATAGCGTTTTATGTGCAACGCACAATTTAGCAGCACTGAGAATTATCTCAGTAATTATCATTAGAGGTCCCTGTTTTTTAAAAACTTTTTTCTATTTTGTCAGGAAACAAGATGCATGCAAAGTTAAGATTTCACTCCTTCTAGAGACCTGTACGGAGCTCACCGAGAGCCACAAACCTGGCAAACACCACAAGGAGTCAAGTTTCCCGGGCGGCCGGGCAGGTCTCCTGCATGCAGAGCACTGCCGCTAAGGAGCTCGGGTCGGCGACATTTCCGTGGCTGCTCAGCGTGTGCATCCGCGTCCGCGCTGCGCCCCGCGCCCACCTGGGGACTGCACAAATTTGGGTGCGAGAGCGTGGGGTGTGAGGATCTGTTTCATAATCTCCCAGAATCCACAGGAGGAAAAAAAATGCCTACCATGCAAAGACATGCTTTCCCGTGATAACTTGAACTCCCCGGCCAAAGAGTCTATCCTTTCATTTTGCAGGAACTGCAGGTCCCGACTGACAGCTCCAAACTTAACAGCTACGGCTGCGGCTGCAAACTTGCCACCAACTCCCTTTCATCACTCCCACTCTTCCTCTCCGTGGCTCACCCGGGCCAGACGCCTGGAGCTAGTACGCCAAGCTTGCCTCCCCCGCACCCCTTTGGCTAGTCGAGTGAGCACAGCCCCGCACTCCCGGCTGCTAGTCTCGGGGTTCGCCGACCTCCCCAAGGCTCCGGGCGCGATTTTCTTGCAGAGCCAGCGAGCTCCTGGTCGCACCCTACTCACTTGTGTCTTCTTCATAAGGAAAGGCAGCGCTGCGATCCAGCCCAGGCAGCGGTGTGGCGACTCCGTTTAGCTGTTCTGGAGCTCCAGCATATTGCACGGGCAGCGGCGGCAGATAGTCCACGCATTGGGTAGCCCGAGCGCAGTGCCCTCTCTACGGCCCGTGCCACCCGCAGCGCTCCTGATCCCGACGCGAGGCGGCGAGTGAAGGCCGGGCCAACGCGCGGCCAGAGCTTTTATATAGATCTCTCCCGCCTGCTCTGGACACGCCTCCTTCCTTTCCGGAGTCCTAGGGAGGCGAGACCAGAGAAGGGGCGCGGGGGAAGACCCGGGAGGGCAGCAAGGGCACGGTGAGAAACTGGACAGATTTAAGCCAAGCGCATCCCCTCGCCAGGGGTCCCCTAGAGCGCACCGGCTGGAAAGCACGAGGGCGCGAGGACGCCCAAGAAGCTTAGCAACCTGCAGCCGCTGCTTTCGCTGCGCGCCGAGCTCTTCGAGTCCCAGCGCGGCCTCCCGGCTCTACTGGGCCTCACCTGGCACCGCCCGGGGACAGTCGAAATACCTCTTGCGCTGGCGAGGGCCCCTAAGCTCCCTCTTTCAAGCCGAGGCGGTGCGGAGAGGGACTCAGTTCGTGCCGCCCCGCCCTGCCCCGCCTTAGGGGCGGGGGGAAGAGTTTAATTAAAATCTATAGTTAGGCCATTGTCTTACCCGTTGTTTTTTTTTTTAAATAAACATTCACGTTAGTGAATGGATACTTAATAATCAAAAGAATCTGTGACTCAGGGTTAAGTAATGCTAAACGAGATGCTATTTTCAGAATGAATCTCTGCAGTGTCTTCAGAACTTAAGAATGAAAGAGAGGAGATAGATTATTAAATGTGCAGGTTACCAACACAAGGGGGATCGAAAACTGTACTTTTTCAGAGAAGTTTTTGAAATCGGAAAGGTAATGTAACAGCAATAATTATTATAGCTAGTACCATTTTGTGGTGCATTTAATTATGTACTAGGCCCTGTGCTAAGAACTTTACATGGATTCTCTTTAAAATTGTTCCACAAACGTATTGGATAGGTTCTATAATTTTGAATACCATTTTACAGATGCTCAAAACCCACTGCCATCTAGTTGATTCCGACTCATCGCGACCTATAGGAGAGAGTAGAACTGCCCCATTTCCAAGGCTGTGATCTTTAGGAATGCAGACTGCCACATCTTTCTCCAGCAGAGCGGCTGGTGAGTTCAAATCGCTGACCTTTTGGTTAGCAAGCAGCCCAGGGCTTAACCACTGCCACCAGAGCTCCTTACAGATGCTTAGAGAGGTCAATTTTCCGAGACAACCGCAGCTAGGAAATGACAGAGCTCTAATTGGAATCCAGAAACCTGGCTGTACAGCCTTACAACATACTTAATACAAATATTGTATTCACTCTCCAAAAATTATTTTATATTTTTTCTTACATAACTGGAAAACATTAAAAAAGATTTTAAATTAATTTTTTTAAAGAAAATGTTAACTAGACATTAACAGCAATACTCTTCCGGAGCAAGAATAATGTGTAAATTTAGGAATTAAAACCAGTTGTCGATTTAACTCATGGAGACGCCATGTGTGTTTGAGTAGAACTGCGTTCCTTGGGGGTGTCAATGGCTGTTTTTTTGAAAGTGGATCACCAGGCCTTTCTTCAAAGTGCCTCTTGGTAGACTGGAACCTCCAACCTTTCAACTGGTGAGTTACCATTTGTACCACCCAGGGACTCCAAAATTTAGAAATTAGGTATTTTAATAAAAGAGTAGGATTCCAATTTTGCTTTATTTTAGTTCAGTGTGTCTTTGTTAAAAATGAATATGCCAATCCAATAACCCCGAGGGAAGAAGAAACTAGGTAAATCTAGAAGTTCACTGTATTAGTTTTCTGTTGCTGCTGTAACAAATTACCACAATTTTAATGGCTCAAAACAACACAAATTTATGACATTACAGTTTGGTGCTCAGAAGTCTGAAATGGGTCTCATTGGGCTAAAATCAAGGTTTCTGTGGACTAGGCTGCATTCCTTTCTAGAGGCTCTAGGGGAGATTCTGTTTCCTCGCGTTCTCCAGCTTCTAGCCGTCTGCATTCCTTAGCTTGTGGCCCCCTTCCATCTTCAAAGCCAGTATTCATGGGTCAAATTCTCACACTGATTCACTCAAACCTTCCCTTTTGCCTCCTCTTTCACTTTTAAGGGCCCTTATGATTACATCAGACCCATCTGGATAATCCAGGATAATCTCCTTATTTTAATGTTATTGATGAGCAATCTTAATTCCATCTGCAACCTTATTTCCCCTTTGCCATGTGACTGCCATGCAATGTAACATAGCCACACATTCAAGAGATTAGGACGTGGACATCTTTGTTAGGGCCGTTATTCTCCCTACCACATACACAAGTTTCAGGAGAGTACAGAGTGGAAGTGTAGCCTCCATATGTCTCCATGCATCCTTCATCAAGCGCTTCACTCCAAGTGGTTTAAGAGCTCCCACCCAGAAGAATAACTCCTACTCCATCGTTACAAAATTAAATATTTGAGAAAAGGACCAAAGAAAAGTTCAGAGTATTAAATAATTGCATTTACTTTCAATCAAAAGGTTTTTGCAAACCATTTTAAACTGAAGTGGAAAGAAGCCTGAAGCAGCAGCAAATATGATAGGATTGGAAAATCATTCAACTCTAATAACACCTCCCTGATAATCCCAACCTAAATGCAACTAGCCCTTAGGTACAATTTTGCTTTGCCAGAATCTTCCAAATAGCTGCATGTATATGATGCAAAAAGGAGCTACATTCCTGAAATGTATCATTACAGTCTGTCTAATGGAAAGAGAAATGAATTTGTGGAAGCTTGGTTCTATTTTGGAGCCCTGGTGATACAGTGGTTAAGAGCTACAGCTGCTAACCAAAATGTCAGCAGTTTGAATCCACCAGCTGCTCCTTGGAAACCCTATGGGACAATTCTACTCCATCCTATAGGGTCACTATGAGTCAGAATAGACTCGACAGCAATCAAACTCGACAGGGTTTGGTTTTTGGTTTTGGTTCTATTTCAGATTCTACTGTGGCTCACCCTATGACATTGCCTCAAATCAAGGGTTTAGCAGTGTGGTGCACGTAACTATAAAGATACCCAAGATGATTTTAGGTGGTACACAGATGAACATTTTTGTTTATCAGCTGAGTATTTATTAAATTTTATTGCATTAGTTTCCTACCTAATACTGTAACAAAGTGCCAAGAATTGGGTGGCTTATAAGAACAGAAATTTATTGTCTTGCAGTTCTGGAGGCTAGGAATCTGAATTCAGGACATACACAGGGCCATGCTTTTTCTGCTAGCTCTAGGAGAAGATCCTTCTTTGTCTCTCCTAGCTTCTGGTAGCCCCAGGGGTTCCTTGGTGTTCCTCTATCCTTCACATGGCCACCATCTCTCTGTGTGTCTGTCTCTGTGTATCTTCTCCTCTTTTATAAGAACACCACTCATGTGGGATAAGGACCCACTCTATTCCAGTATGACCTCATGTTAACTATAACATCTATAAAGATACTATTTTCAAATAAGGTCGTGTTCACAAGTACCAGGAATTAGTACTTCAACATATCTTTTGGGAGGACACACTTAAATCCATAATATGTATACACACATATATATATAACCCATCAAACAGATGATTTCAAGTTGAGTGTTGATTAAAAAAAATTTTAAAGAGCCAATTTAAGTCAGTTTAATGTATAAAATTAAGTAAATAATAAATAGTACTAAAGGGAGATGGATATGACAAAATCATGAAGCTGGTGTGAGAATCACTGAAGTTTGCGAAGTATCAAGCTAATCATACTAATTTGTAAGAGACCGATACGAAGGAATGACCAAATAAGTTAGACCAGGTTTAAAGAAACCACTCAGTGGAGCTATCAGAAACTCAGGTCAATTTCTTTTCATTCAACTCAACAGTACATGCTATATTCATCTCTCACTCTTTCTTGCTGCCTCCTCCCTCCTTACATTATTTTCCCTCTCAGCCTGTCTCCTCCTCCCACCTCCACGATGCTATGGCTGTAACTACGTTAACATCATCACTGACTTTCTCATCCATAACTCTGTACCTTTTGTTTCCCTGATAATGCTGCACTACAGTTGTATGTGTGTGTGTGTGTGTATAGTCATGTTTGTTGTTGCTGCTGTTAGGTGCCGTGGAGTTGGTTCTGACTCATAGTGACCGTTCGTACCACAGAATGAAAGACTGCCCGGTCCTGCGTCATGCTCACAATCGTTGTTATGCTTGAGTCCATTGTTGCAGCCACTGTGTCAATCTGTCTTGTTGAGGGTATTCCTCTTTTTTGCTAACTCTCTACTTTACCAAGCATGATGTCCTTCTCCAGGGACTGATCCCTCCTGACAACATGTCCAAAGTATGTAAGATGTAGTCTTGCCATCCTTGCTTCTAAGGAACATTCTGACTGTTCTTCTTCCTAGACAGATTTGTTCGTTCTTTTGGCAGTCCATGGTATATTCAATATTCTTCACAACACCATAATTCAAAGGCGTCAATTTTTCTTCCGTCTTCCTTATTCATTGTCTAGCTTTCACATGCATCTGATGCAATTGAAAATACCATGGCCTGAGTCAGGCGCACCTTAGTCTTCAAGATGATATGTTTGCTTTTCAACACTTTAGAGAGGTTTTTTGCAGCAGATTTGCCCAACGTAATGAGTCTTTTGATTTCTTGACTGCTGCTTCCACGGGTGTTGATTGTGGATCCAAGTAAAATGAAATCCTTGAAAACTTCAATCTTTTCTCTGTTTATCATGATGTTGCTTATTGGTCCAGTTGTGAGGATTTTTGTTTTCTTAATGTTAAGGTGTCATCCATACTGAAGGCTGTAGTCTTTGATCTTCGTCAGTCAGTGCTTCAAGTACTCTTCACTTTCAGCAAGAAAGGTTGTGTCATCTGCATATCACAGGTTGTTAATGAGTCTTCCTCCAATCCTGATGTCACGTTCTTCTTCATTTAGTCCAGCTTCTCAGATTATTTGCTCAACATACAGACTGAATAGGTATGGTGAAAGGATACAGTCCTGA